TGAAACAGCAAAAACCCTGTGAGCTAGAGCTGTGGACCGTTAATTGCCCATGATAGCAGCAGGGCTGTGACGATTGTGCCTCCTATTCTGTGTATGTTGTGGACTCACGTATTGTAATGTATGAATTCAGTCAAATGTGTTTTTTATATAAAGACTGTATTTCTCTGTTATCTAAGTAGATGGCAGATGCTTAAGATCAGCTGAATGTTTTGGGTGTGAGAATCTTGTGCTTCAGTGGGAGAGGAGGGGCGTTAACCCCTTTACCTCCTGCAGTGCGCACACACACACACACACTTACACCCACACACCTGCACACATTTTTTTTTTTGTTTCTGAGACATTAAAACAGAATTCCCACACTTTCCAAACACTCTAAAGTAGATTTGAGGTATAATTCAACGTTTTCCCCAATAGTCATAATAATTTTCTTCATGGAAGAGACAGCACCACTCTTAAGGCTGATCAGCAGCAGCTTAACTTAGCATGAAGACAGGGGACTGAAATAATAACCCCACCTACCTAAATGCACTGCGAAAATACACAAATTTATAAATTATTATTGGCCGGGTCAAATCTCACAAACACTAAAGCACAAACAGAAACTCTGAGTCTTGACTGCTTTCAGACAATAAAAGACTGAGGTAATTACACCAGTGTAAAGCAGATTAAACCAGGAATATCAAAGCAATTAAAGATCATTCAAATACGAGCACTAAAATCCATGCCTAATAATATATAATAACTACTGATAATAAGACACTCAAAATCGTTTCTTTTAGTGCATTCTGAAAATGTTCAGTGTTCATATGCAATACATATGCAAACTTTGGATTAAACAAATAGATCTAACGTGTGAGAGGATGAACTTTAATTTTGAATTAATACGAAATCTTTTCACAAACACAACCCCCACCCCAACCATGCCCACCCACCTCACCATCTGAGCTGTAGTGGAGATCTCAGGGATAGGCACGATTGTGGCTCTTTTTCACTCTTTAGCACTATGGTCACCTCGGTGAGCCGAGCAGAGTTCGAACTTCTCAATTGATTAATTAAACTTTTAAAAGTAGAAAGTGAGATTGGTTCAAACTGGTAGAAGTTGGACGGAGATCCACCAGGAGGAAGAGGATTCACCACAACGGATGAGAGAGTGGGGTTTTTAGAAGTGAGATTTTCCTCATAAAATAATTGAAAAATTGCTCACAGAGAGTTGGGGAGGCAAAGGCTAGTTTATCAGGGCAAGGATTGATGGCAGAATTGAACATTTTAAACAGGGCCCGGGGGTTATGGCTATTAGTCGCGATGATGTCGGACAAAAAAGCGTCCTCATATATAGTGCGGCAGCTACGTAAAATGTAGGGGGATACCCGAAGCTTATCTTTTTTCCACCTCCTCTCAAATTGATGACAGATAAGACGTAAATCTAGTATATATAGAGTCATTTAACCAGGTTTGAGGGGAGGATCTAAGACGCTTTACATTAGACTGTACACTATACCACCACCCATCCATTTTGCTCCACTTATCCAACTCATGGCTATGGTTGGGCATGAGCCTATCCCGTACCCCAGGAGGCTGGGTACAACCGGTACTACGGTCAGTTAAGTCAGCCATTAACCTAACGTGCTGTGGGACTGTGGGCGGAAACTGAAGTACCTGGAAAGAACCCAAAACCAGGACCTTCTTGTCCTGAGGCGATGTTGCCCTTTCCTTATACCTTTAATTCTAGTATTTATGCCAAGCCAACCGAAGGCTAGCTCCAGCTACGTATTAACGATACAAACATTTACATGATGGTATTCTCATCTCTTTCCAAGATCGATAATCTAATAATAATATATACATTTTATAAAGGATCCAAGGTACTTGTTGTTAAAAGTCAACACACTCAAATTCATTCGCTTTACTTCCACTCCATGTTTTACATGTAATGTTCGGAGCTTTATGCTAAAAAATCAAAATGAATGAACTGCACAGAACACACATGTTAGGGCAGTCCACTGAAATTAATTGTGTGCTGCGGTTTTTCATTTGTTGCATATAAGCTACTCTTTGTATTCACAATGTTCTGTCCTTGTATTGTTGTGCTGTGTGTGTATGCGCACCAGTTCCTGGCTGACAGGTGCAGGAAGAAAACGTTATTGTATTGTTTAAAATGTGTCAGTTTATCTTCTTTATCTACCAGTTCAAACAGGCAGGAGCAACATGATGTCAGTTTGGATTTGAATCTCAAAAAGAAAAAAAAAA